AGGTTGAAGTTTTCACAACACTAATAGATCTAGTAATAGGGTTAGGTAATACGGCTTTCCGTAAAAAATGCATAGATCTACAAAAGGCGACCACCGAATCGACCGGGCGCCTCGGTCTCCCCTGCACTCTGATTCAATATTATATTTAAACAAAAATGCTAATCAATGAAAATTGCAAATTGATAATAATAGTATAGTCCTGTAGAGGATAGGTGGACTCCGGGGTCTGCATAGCTAAATACTAGGTTTTAGGATGTGGACCCCGGAGTCACCGTAGTGAAATATGGTTTGGTTTAAGTAAGGATTGGTACTAGGTTTTAGGACAGGTGGACCCTGGGGTCACCGCAGTGAAATAAGTAGGTTTCTTTAATTAAAGATTGGTGGAACCCGGAGTCACCAAGGCCATAGAGGATTAAGAAGGTTTAATTAAGGATTGGTGGACCCCCGGGACACCTTGATTAAACCTACTTATTTTACTACGGTGACCGCAGGATCCACCTATTCTAAAACCTAACTAGTGTTTCGTTAGGTAGACCCTGGGGTTCACCTTAAACCTACCTATTTCACTACGTTGACTCCAGGGTCCACCAATCCTTAAAATTAAACCTAGATCTATCTACATGTACTTATTTCACTACATTGACCCCAGGGTCCACCAATCCTTAATTAAACCTAGATCTACTGATTTCACTACATTGACCCCGTGGTCCTCCAATCCTTAATTAAACCTATATCTACTTATAATTTCACTACTTTGACCACGGGCTCCGCCAGTCCTATTATAAAATAAACTTAGATCTACTTATTTCATTATGTTGACCCCGGGGTCCACCGATCCTTAGTTAAACCTAGATCTACTTATTTCACTACGCTGACTCCGGGGTTCATCCTAAAACCTAACATTTTGTTAGGTAGACCCCGGGGTCCACCTATCCTTTTGGCTAGATAGACCCCGTAGTCCGCCTATCCACTTTCTTGATAATAACTGAAAACAATACATGCCAGTTGTCATTTATAGTGAAGAAAAATGAGGGGAAAAAATATAATTAGGTAGACTTTAATTTGTCCAAAAAATTGCAAGTGCAAGTGAAGATCATAAAATAATTTTGTTCTTTTCTGGTCACCTTTCCAAGGACCTTAAATTGATTCTACATCACATGTCATGTACGATACAGCTGTGAAGGAAAATGGATGTGAAGAGTTTTAAAGAGATAATAATGTAACTTGTAAAGAAAACAATGCTTTACATTGGTTTGGTTATTTTGACTACATATGTGGCCTAAATAAGGTAAGGGAGGGGGGTTTAGCTTATTTAGGCCACAGGTGTGGCCTAAATAAGGTAAGGGAGGGGGGTTTAGCTTATTCAGGCCACAGGTGTGGCCTACATAAGGTAAAGGAGGGGGGTTTAGCTTATTTAGGCCACCTGTGGCCCAAATAAGGTAAGGGAGGGGGGTTTAGCTTATTTAGGCCATATGTGGCCTAAATAAGGTCACCCAAAAAAAATAGGTATACGGTAGCTAACCACTTTTTGATGTGTATAAAATCTAGTCTATTGAGTGTTTACGCTTTTCCTGTCACGTGAGTAATACTAAGTAGTTTAAAAAGTAGGCCATGCTATGAAAATAACATTTTGGTGCTCCAATTCAATAAGTGTTCATTTTTATCATAAAAAAATAGCACGTGGCGGATATTTTCTTTGTTTTTATTAATAATGCCGATGGCCCATTTCCGTGATGCAGAGAGAAAACATTGTGATTAGCCCACTTGAGTCAAGGTTGCAGAGTACAGCGAAGCACATAGACACTATAACGGTCTTTTAGTGCTGGAAAAAGCAAGACAGGTGTACAAAAACAGCAGAGGGGAAGGAAAGAAGAATGAATGAATACTAATGCAATGCATTGACATATTCAGCAAAGTCCAAGAATAGAAACTTGAGGCCTAGACATATTAAAGTTAGGAAAACGTGGACAAAATATATTTTGAAAGTCCACATTATGCAAAAATAGTACATATACTTGAACATACATATGCCTCCACAGACACACTCAGATATTTTCGTAGGCGAACGGCTTCTACCCTACTGCAAGTCAAGGAAAACCTGGGAAGACTGGGATACAGAATCCCAGAAAATGGGCAGAGAATGGAGATGCCTTAAAAAAACTTCCTCACTTGGGATTCAAACTCGTATCTTATTAACTTATTCTTAAGCGTGCAATGGTGAAGAGCCTAATCATTCATTATACCATAGATATCTTTGAAAGAAGAATAGAACACTGGATTGAAACAATGAATGTTTTATTAAATATATATAATATGAAAACGGAGAAAAAGTTGAGAAAAAAACAACAACCCAAAAACAATGAAGCACACAACACAAACAAAAATTCAACCTTTCAATCTACAGACACAAATGATGGAATAAAAATATATAAATTCAGATTTTTTACAGTTTGAGACATTTAAGTCATGTGACGGAATAATCAGCCTTTAGACTTTTTATACTGGTGCTCAATCATCTGAGTGAACAAAAGCACAAGTACATAGAACTCTACCTGTAAAAATGTATCAATGAGAAATGTATTCCAAACACTTTGATGCCTAATGGGACAATAGTAATAGCAATTTGAACAATCTAAGACAAAAACAACATGAATTCTACCTGTCTTCACTGAGGTAGTAATTTCCTATCATAAAATTAAAATTTAATAATAATGCATGACACCCCTTTTTACGAATCAAAATACTATTGCAGAAAACGATTATCAAATTCAGTATCTAAAGGCAAAAAGCAACAAAGCATTCTGGAAGACGAGGTAGGATGGAACCCAATATCTCATTATCTGACCGCATCAGTTTCATCATACTCATACAACAGACCTGCCAGTCTCACAGTGACGAAGAAATGAGACAATTCCAACTTAGAAAAATAATCTAATTCAAAACAAAAAACCCAAAAAGAACAGGAGACATAAATTAATCTTTTCACATACAACAAATTATGTCATTTCACACAACTGACATATTCTTATTTAAAAAAATGTTTCTAAAGAACTTTGAACCAATTTGTAAAGTCTGCCATTAGAGCAACACTATTATTTTATAGAATGACGTTTAAAAGGCTCTTTAACCCTATCTGTACATTGTGTTTTACTATCGTATCCATACGACCTGGGGAACTCTGCGCCACCACTTTCCAAAGAGGATATTTACTTGTTAATCCGATCCGTACGCTTTGCATAGCAGTCTGTCAAAATAATTTTTAAAACAAACAACCCTGAAAGTTTCAAAGAGATCTTCGCACTAGAAATATTCTAAAATGTGAAGAATACAACCCAGGGGGTACAAAATGACCCCAGGGTGTAAGGTTAATTCACATTTTAAAAAAAAGCAGAAATCATATCTTGTTATAGCAGTTCACAGGTCTGATGATACCATAATCACATACATGATATTCATAAAAACACAGCCAGTTATGTCACCAGGACATGAACTACACACACTCTTAAAGGCAGGGAAGCAAACTGTCATACAAAAACACAACTTCTAAGGTGAAGCAAAGCACTGACAAACTCCCAAACTGCAACTCAACTAGATGACACTTTTCCACACACATTTCTCATTTAGTGATACATAATAATCTCACCCTTCTCAATCATAACTTATAACTGTGACAAAGGTATAGTATATGGCATGGCTTGGGCACACTGTTAGCTCTGCTGGTATCTTGAGGTGGATGGTCCTGGTTCAAATCCCCAAGAGTGTGCTCTGAACGTAGGTCGTTTTGGGGCAATTTTAAGGCTCACCACACCCACTTGGCTCAGTCTTAATGGAGGTTGATAATAAATTCAGAGGTCCTGCTCCTATCATGGAAAACATTACAGTGTTGAAAGGGGACTGCTGTAGTAATGGCATTGATTTTTACACCAACCCCTTCAACACTGAGATTAATGAGGCAGGACCTCTATAATTAAAATCTCTGATGGAATCAAGTCAGAACAGTGAAGATGTTTTATGAAAGTTTGTCTTAATGAGTATTTTACGGCACTTGCAACACAATTCAGTCATATAGGTGCTGAAGATTAGAGATGTAACAAGAGAGTAAAAAAAATCCCCCAAAAGATGGGGGAGAGATAGGGAAGACAGATGTTTGTTAGGAAAGAAGGAGCAAAGCACACCAGAGCACCTGCCAAATACTCACTTTTTAAGAAGCATAATCGCCATGCATAATACTAATGGAGCTAACGGCATGCATCTATAGCCAAAAGGTTCTCCCTGTGGTTTACTGTCACACATCTCTCAGTTTCAAAGCATTCTACCAAATGAGCAGCAACTTGTGCATCCATACCCTGACTTTGATGTAATACATTAACAAATGTACACAAGCGGGAATATATTAGCCGAGTAGAGAAATATATCAACAAGATAACCATCATTCAGTGTTAGGAACACAGAAGTCCCTGTTACTGTTACCCTATCATCCTACTCTGCTCCTGCCGTTGTGCAGACTCTCTGTAAATTAACGCACTCGTTGACAGTTATGACATGTTGTTATGACACTTGTTCGCCTGCAAGGCAAATAATAAAAAAAAAAAAAAGCAGTTTGATTTCATCCACAGCGACATGAACACTTGACCAGACATGGCACCCGTGTAGTGTCCATCATCTGCTGAACACACACACATGTAATTCTAAAACCTAACAGGATTATATACATGACAGCAGCATATCTTTAGCTTTCTTGGGTTGGAGACAGAATCCATCAATTTTCTCGTACCTCGGCATATACATGTACATATGAGTAGCAATACATCATAAGCAGTTGCTTGTCGCACTCAACTTTTTCGAGATATTGGGCAAACTTTCAACTTTCTAAAAAATTACCCGTTTCAGATGCCCCGGTTTTAAGTAGTCATACTTCACCCGTTTGTAGGGCATGAAAAAATATTTACTTTGACATTCATGGTGTTATGTTTGTCAAAATGTGACAAGAGACTCATTCTGTTGTGTTGCTACACATGTTCTTTATTGGGAATAAAAAACTAATGCACAACATGAAGTTAAAGATGCCTCTTACATAGTCTCATTTGTGCTTTCAATCTGCAAAATAGACATTAGGTTGACATTTATTTGTGCATTTAGGGCATCACATTGACTCAAGTTCAGGCCAAAACAGAAGTAATAAGAATATTGACATTGACAAAACTTACAAAACAAGACAAGTATACCTCTCTCCATCCTTTGCCCTTCTCTTCAGTGTTCTTATAAAACACTGAGTATTGTGTCAGAAAACCAGGCAATTAACCCCTTCACTGTCTTTCCTGAGACTGCATGAATCCTTTAATAAGTTCAAAAGCAGTTCTGGCAATATATAGGTTATAAACAAAAGGTACTCGCTTCAAAAAGAAAATGCAGTAAAATAAGTCCTTTTATCCATTTTTTTTCCGAATAAAGCCTAACAGCGGACTCACTGACACTTTGGGTAAATCTTGGATATTTTTTACATTTAATCTATCAACAATCACTATTCATTAGCCAGGGATGACACCAGTAAGAAAACTTATCTCTTCTTCTATTTACTAAGCAATGGTGTTTCTGATCATAATACTGTCTAAAAATTGTCTTATTAAAGGGTTTAAAAGCTAAAGATCTTGCCCGAGGATCCTCCTTCAGCTCATCAGCCAAAGGTCTACTCTTTTCACTGAAAAAGGGAGAGAGCAAAAGTTGGTGAATCACTGCAGTTCACTGGGTCAGTTACACTTCTTCACTCATTCTAACATATATACAAGAGTCTCCAATCGAAAAAAAAACCCTTCCCAAAACACCAACAAAGTATTATTCAACCAACTTGATTTTGAACATAACATAATAATGGAAGTAGGCTTTAAATAGCATTCAATTGGCAACAAGCTTTCCACACTCAACTCCTTATATGTACACACCTTCTCACGGAAAACTACAAAATTATAGTTTTCACCTTTGAATTTCATAAAATTCATATAACTCTGGACACATTCACATAACAAGATTTACCAAGCTTAAAACCTCAGCAATCCAACAAGGCACTCTATCATTGCCCAAGTAAAGAAACCGTAGAGTCAAACCCCACATCAATCTAATATCTCAAAGCACAACCCCCCCCCCCCCAAAAAAAAACTTTTGGCCTTCTTGTCACTGTGACAGGCAAATGAACAGTACTTTACACGTAAAAGCAGTAATAATGACCACACCCATGAAAAGATGTACAATTACTATTAAGGTCATGTTAATTTTATACAATAGTTAGAAAGAAAATATTCAATGACAATGTTGTTTTGATTGGTTCTGCAATCCCAATGGTTTACCATATACATGCATAGGGCAGCCTATCATATCTGTTCTAATCAGATCAAAAGCCTTACACTTAAAAGCCTTCTTAGTTCATCAAGCTTAAGGTCAAACAGTACCTGGCAGTAGGTCTCTACTTTTTCATCTTGAACTTGAAAGACCACCCCAGAACTTAACAGGATTGTTCAAGAAAATCTGCCACACAATGGTTCAGCTAAATATTTGTAGGGATGACACATATAAAAACAACAACAAAAAATCAGGGTGAGGAAGGGTGGAACTGGACAATGGTTGAATTAGTTATAAGTAAGAAAACATCTTGTCAGCATCATTCCACTATCACCTAAGTCAATTTATGTTGTGTTTTTTTCAGATAAAGCCATTTTTTGAATAGACACCTGGGGGCATCTTAGAAACTTTCATTTCATTATTTCCTTACCTAGTTTTTATTTGAAAAATTACAAATGTCTAAGTCTAAGATATGAGTCATAGTTCTGAATATGGGCGCTCATTTTCTTTAATTTTCTCAAAACTTCTATAAATGACTCAGGTGACTGTAAAATAACACTGAGGAACATGCTGTAAAAAGCAGGATGAGAAGGATGGGGATGTCAGAGCAAAAATCTTCAGCCTTTCCCTTTACATAAACATAATGCATCATTATCATGCAGTTTACTATTTATGACAGATGGGTTAAGAGATAGAGAAAGACAGAGGGATTGGGGGTGGGTTTGGGGGGTGGGGGA